TGCATATACTACGTTTTTCCTATACACACACACACCTATGATAAAGTTGAATTTACAAATTAGGCATAGTAAGAGTAGCAATAATGACTAATAATAAAGTAGAATAATAACAATGTACTGTAGTAAAGTTCTATGAATGTGGTCTCTCTCAAAACATCTTACTGTACTGTACTTCCCCTTTTTCTCTTGTGATGATGTGAGATAATAAAATGCCTAGTGATGAGGTGAAGTGAGGTGAGTGATGTAGACATATGACAGCGTTCAGCTACTCCCGACCTTTTAACTATACATCAGAAGGAGCATCATCTGCTTTTGGACTGAGGTTGATCATAGGGAACTGAAACTGCAGATAAGGTCGAGGAGCAGGGCACTACTGCACAAGGATGTTCAGTTTAATGTTATAATAGCATAAATTTATTAGTAACCTACGTGACGTCAGTAAAATCCTAGTTAAATGCATTGTAATACACCCAGACGTGTCATATCCCCACATCTCTAGACATCTCTTCCTAGGTAGGAGAGGTCATTGCTTTTGGCTAGTGTTGTTAGACGGTCTTTAATAATGCTGCTAATTACCTTATTTCCCTATCATCTGTTAACTTTCCTATTCTGTTCTTTATTTCAAGACATTTAATGTCAGGGTGGTTCTCAGAGCAACTGGAATCTCTGCCTGTCTTAAATTTTGCCTTATGGCACTGGCTGTCACATTTACTTGACTTCAGAGACTCTCCCTAGAAGACTCGCTTGCCTTTCACCCACCAGCAGCCTCCCACCCACATGGTGAGAAGGAATAGGATTTGCTCTTCTTGTTACCAGAGATCAAAACACAGCAATTTCCAGCTACCTTGTCTTTTTTAAGAATTCCCCTTTTAGCCAAAACAAAAAACAAAAAGCTTTGTTCATTCTCAACCTTTTTTCTTAAAAATCAGATTAATTGGGGGAAGGGAGATTAAATACAGTTACGTGATTCAAAGTTCAAAGGACAGAAAAAAGTATAGAAGGAATGGTCTTCATTCAGCCCTTGACTTCCAGTCACCCTGATCCTGCTTCTGGGACAGCCAGTAGCATCAGTTTCTGTTTGTCCTTCCAGAGATATTCCGTGTACAGAAAAGTGAAGACCTGTATTTTTCCTTTTTCACACCAATGCATTTTCTTCACAATTTCTTCTTCATTAAACTCTGTGGGTTTTTGCCAGCCTCTCTCCCTTGGTTTTATCTGAGAGAGGCTTTGATTTATCCTTTCGTTGAGCAAAGCTGCAGGGAGCAGCGTAGTAAAACAGAGGAACAGAGATTCCTGCACAGTGAAGAGGAAGAGCAGGTATGTCACCTTTCCGTCTTTCCTTCCTAAAGCACCCTCGAGATGCCCCAGGACCTGGTATGCTGTTGGTCAATAGATTCCCGGCCCCGCGTGTAGGTCTGTGGTAGGCATTAGACCCCGGTATCCGGATCTCATGGTCTCTGGCTGCCTTGTCTGAGTCTCTGTTGTGGACCCCAGCTCTTTCCTCTTTGAAATGTTTGCTTTTCGGTGTCTCTGTCTTTTCATTCTGCACAATTAGGCAGTGTTGCATCATTCCAAGGATGTCATCTCTAAGCTGGTAATTCTACAGAGTTTATCTCTAGCCCAGAATTTTTTCTTGAGGTCCGGACACACATACTATGCTGTGTTTGCACTGGCCTCCAGCACCCCTCACACTGCTTGTCCGAAACCAGCTCAGTCTGCCCCGCTGTGCTGTGGCTCAGACCATCACATCTTCTCTGTCTCAGAGTGGCACCCGAGGTGTCAGCGTCCCCTTGGCCTCTGACTCCTTTACCCTCTGGATGTTTCTTGACTGTGTCTCCTTCTCTTTATCCAAGACTGCAAATAATTACTCGTGAATCTTAGATTTACAATACGGCTGTTTTCTATTAAAGAAGAAGGTGGTCATTATGTTTGCTTCATGATTTCTACCACCTAAGTTGTCGTTCAGCCTGTCACTCAGCTGCCCTGAAAAGCACAGGCCGTCCACATTACAGCCTCTTCCTCCTGTCTTGTACCTGTGTATCTGGAGAGGCGAGCCTTGACCCCAGTTTTATATGACCCCTTCCTCCCCACCCTTCATGCTTTTTTTTTTATGCTCTCACTTCATTTTACATTACTTGGTAAACTGTCTTTTTCCAAAGATCATTTCCGGACGTCCCAAGTCCTGGCTGTTGGGACATTTCTTTACTCTCTGGTACTGTATATTTGGTGTCCTTGGTATTCTGATCACCAGGATCCTGAATCTTTGCCTTCGAACATGTTGGTTCTCCTCCTGGGTGACCAGTTCCTAGAGGACATGGAGATGTTAGGAGGATGCAGATTGGTCACTTTATCCATTTCAGTGGTTTTTTCATTTTGTTTTTTTTACAACTAGCCTCTGCATAAGATTGAAAAGGAATATAGAGAAATACGGTAAATTAATATGGTAGAAATAGGTGATTTCTCTTCAAGTGTCCTTTTATAATAAAACTTTTTTTTCTTTCTATAATCTATTTATTTTTTATAATTTACATCCAAGTTAGTTAGCACATGGTGCAATAATGATTTCAGGAGTAGATTTCAGTGATTCATCCCCTATGTATAACTCCCAGTGCTCATCCCAACGAGTGTCTTCCTCAATGCCCTTTACCCATTTAGCCCATCCCCCCACCTGTCCAGCAACCCTGTTTGTTCTCTGTGTTTAGGAGTCTCTTCTGTTTTGTCCCCCTCCTTGTTTTTATATTATTTTTGCTTCCCTTCCCTTATGTTCATCTGTTTTGTATCTTAAAGTCCTCATATGAGTGAAGTCATATGATATTTGTCTTTTTCTGACTAATTTCGCTTAGCATAATGCCCTCTAGTTCCATCCACGTAGTTGCAAATGGCAAGACTTCAGTATAATAAGTATAATAACAAAACTTGTAAAAGAATGCTGTACTACCTGGGGCGCCTGGGTGGCGCAGTCGGTTAAGCGTCCGACTTCAGCCAGGTCACGATCTCGCGGTCCGTGAGTTCGAGCCCCGCGTCAGGCTCTGGGCTGATGGCTCAGAGCCCGGAGCCTGTTTCCGAGTCTATGTCTCCCTCTCTCTGCCCTTCCCCTGTTCATGCTCTGTCTCTCTCTGTCCCAAAAATAAATAAACGTTGAAAAAAAAAAATGCTGTACTACCCATCCCTCCGTCGGGCCCCATTCACCTTTCCTCTGGGTTTCACAGCGCTTCCCTCGGCATACCCTCTGCTGTAAGCCATGGGCTGTCTGTAGTAGATTAGTCGCCTACTGCTCTCTAACAAATCACTCCAACACTTAGCAACTTAAATGAAGCCATTTGTTATCTAGCAGTTTCTGCGAGTCTTGTGTTAGGGAGTGACTTAAGGGGGTAGTTCTGCCCCAGGGGCTCCTGGGGAGTTTTGGTAGGAGCCACAGCTACAGGCATCTGCAGACTTGACTGGGGCTCGCAGCTCTGCTTCCAGAGGAGCCCTCTCACCTGGCTTTGTCTAGGGGCTGCATTTCCTCACAGGCCATGGGCATGAGGCCTCAGTACCTTGCCATCTGGGTCTGTCCATCGGAGGGTTTAACGTCCTCGTGACACACAAGCAAGTGATGTGTGAGACCTGGAGGGTGCCATGTGCCTTTCAGGACCTGGTCAATCTCTGAATGCCCCCCACCATCACTTCTGCCTTACTCAGTTCATTCAAAGCAGGTCACTAAGTATACCCCTCACTCAAAGGCAAGGATATTATGTTCTATCCTTTGCAGGGAGGATTATCAAAGAATTTGTGGACACCACAAATTTTAGAATTAAAAAATAAATCTTTAAAAAAAAGAATTTTAAAACCACCATGCCTGGGATGCTTGTTGAAAGAAAGATTCTCGGGGCGCCTGGGTAGCTCATTCGGTTGAGCATCCAACTCTTGGTTTCAGCTCAGGCCGTGATCCCAGGATCCTGGGATCGAGCCCCACATCAGACTCCATGCCCACTCAAGATTCATATTCTCTCTCTCTCTCTCTCTCTCTCTCTCTCTCTCTCTCTCTCTCTCTGTGTGTGTGTCAAAAAGGGTGGGGGGCACCTGGGTGGCTCAGGGTTGAGTGTCCAACTCTTGGTTTTGGCTCAGATCATGATCCCAGTGAGTTTGAGGCTCTGAGCCTGCTTGGTTGGGATTCACTCTCTTCCTCTCTCTCTGTCTGTCCCTCCCCTGCTCACTCACACTTTCTCTGTCTCAAAAATAACGTAAAAAAAATGTTTGTTTAAGTACGATTCTCAGTCCCATTTCTGATCTAGCGAGAGGTAGGGCCCAGGGACCTGCAGTTTGCATATCCTTATGATTCTGATGCAGGTGACCTGAAAACCATGCTCGGAAATGCACTGTTCTGCCAGATGGATCCCTTGGTCTTCCTTAAATAGTCTTTTTTTTTTTTTTTTTTTAATTTTTTTTTCAAGTTTTGTTTATTTTTGAGAGAGAGCATGAGTTGGGGAGAGGCAGAGAGAGAGGGAGACACAGAATCCAAAGCAGGCTCCAGGCTCCAGGCTCCGAGCTGTCAGCACAGAGCCCAATACGGGGCTCAAACTCACAGACAATCAGATCATGTCCCGAGCTGAAGTCAGACGCTCAACCCACTGAGCCACCCAGGCACCCCCTTAAATAGTCTTAATTGGTCACGCCATATCTTTCCTCATGTGTCCAAAGCACACTGAGCTCATTTTCTGCTGTAGACCTCTTGTTAAGTCCTGCACAAGTCTGGTTACTAAAGTGAGCTCTTGCCTCCCTTGGGCTCCTGGAATACTGCATCATCTTTTCCTGCTCCTTGGCCCTGAGTACTTTGTTTCAGTTGCTGCACTGCCAGTAGGGATTTAAAACTGATCACCTTCATTTGACCTGCCCTCCTGCCAGCAGAACTATGAAACCACACTGCTTGGTGGTCAGTACGTGTGCCAGAGGAGTGCTGTGTGCCAGGCTTGGTCTCAAGTACAGTAGTGAAAGGACACTGATGTGCCCCCTCCCCACAGGTCCACCAAAAGTGTGTCCTTACACTTGAAAGACATTGTAATGAGGAAGCAAACAGACCGCTATGGTGTAAAACAAAGATCTTCTCAGGTGAGGTTTACAGAGGATCTGCCTGAGACTTCAAGGACAGAAAGAAGAGACTCTAAGGAAGGAAGGAGCTTTGTATGCTCTCCTGCCTGAGAGGAGTCACAGGAGTTGGGGTGGCTGGAGCTGAGGTGGGAGGAGCAAGCCTGGGTTTCATTCGAAATGCAGTGTCCTAACTTGTTTTGGCTTTGTATCTAACTTGGAGCTCTCCTAATTTAGCAGTTGTGGAAATAACTAGGAGTTTCAGATTATATGCTACAAATTCAACTATAATGGATTGGAAAACAGGATTTCTATGTTGGCTTGACAGAGGGAAACTACAGACTCAAGCCTGAGTGGTAGTCAGGGTAGTTACTTCTCATCTCAGAACATAAAATGTGAGAATGACCACAGCGGCAACAGGAGAGATTTGTGTTGGAGAGAAAAGTGCCTTTAGAGATGACCCAGCCTTCAGGAAAGGAGTCTTACTCTTCTGACCCCATGTTTTTAGGCTCTGAGCTCGGTTTATAGGTCAGATACATCCATGCCCGTCTCCATGCTCTTAGCTGTTAGGTGCCGATTCAATTCTAGATTAGATGTGGTGGGCAGGGCAAGTGCGGTAAGACCCCTGTGATTTCTCCCCAGATTCCTTTCCACATAGTCAGCTGCTCCTCCTTCCCAAGTTCTGCTCAGCCCATGCCTCTCATGGGTTATGGATACTGGGTGTTGGGAGACCTGGTTCTAGTAGCCCAGTTCCCTACAGAAAGAGAGCAGGACCTTCGGAGATCTTTTTTTTTTTTCCTCCCCTTCCCTGGTTTCCACCTGTTTGCAAGAGGGTGGAATAAGATGGTCTCTAGAATTGTTACTTTCTGAGATCTTCTGACACTAGCCGAGGCCGTACACTGTGCCCCTCTTCTGAATTTACAGCACATGTGTATACGACAGGTTGATATTTCTCCTTATTCTTTGTGGTGGCTGGACAGCTCTCGGCTTGCCTGGGTGGTTTTTGTTATGGCATCTGCTGGGTTCACTTGTATGGCAGCATTCGGTTGACAAGTTGATGGGGCTGTCCTCTGTTGGAGCAGTGGCTCTTTTCCTACATACAGCCTTTCATCCTTAAAGAGGCTGGACTGGCCTCTTCATTTCATGCCAACATCATTCCAAGAGAGCAAGCCCTGATACTCAACCGCTTATCCAGCCTTTTCTTCAAATTTGGTACTGTCCCACAGGCCAGAGCCAGAGCAGGTCACACAGCCCATGCAAAAGCATGAACGTGCGAGACAGGGCTCAGTAGGGTCATTAGTGTCACAGTCTGCCACAACCTCCATGCTAAATTACCTGCCTTCTCCAACAAGGATTTCCCAAAGTGGTTTTGTTCAAAGTCTTCTTGTAGAATTACTTGGAATTATCAGTCGAATGCACTTGTGACATAGTTCTTTAGGACTGTACATGTATGGATTTGCAATAGCTGCCCCTGGGTAGATACTGAATCAGACTAAGTTTCATCACAGACTGTTCTTGCCTAAATGGTCTCATATGTTCAGGATAGCAAAGTATAATGCAGGTTGCTATATCATCCTCCTCTGGGACTTCTGCTTTTTCAGGAGATAAAACTGAAGCATTTATAGCTACCCTGGACTCTCATACTAGTGTTAGATGTGGACTGTTGAACATTAGCAATGGATCAGTTATCTAAGAGATTTAAATTTGTATTACAACAGTGGAATAGAATGTTTAATAACCTGTGCTGGGGGATTATGTGTTTGTTTTTTAGCTCTTCAGAGAAGTAAGAATAATGAAGATTTTAAATCATCCAAACATAGGTACTTTCTGCTTTCTTAAATACTTTTGGGTCTAAATGCATTCCATTTTGTGTCTAAACATACATCCCAGGAGTGGTAGGAGATTCCTTCCTTCCTCCCAGCCCAGGTACACTTTTCGTAAAATCTGTGTTTATACAAATTTTTGATCATTTGTATTAAGTTTTTGAAATTGCTGAAGACAGTCAGAAGCATAGGTATTAAACACTTGAATTTAAAACAATGCAGTAGAAACATCTGTAATCAGATTATAATTTTCTAATTTTTAATGCATATTAGAACATAACGTAATTTTATTTCATAGAGAAGGGAATTATAAGTCAGAGTTAAGGTTTCAGAAGTATAACAGTTTTTGCCATGGCATTGTTCTTAAGAAATTATTTGTATATTGAGTTGTATTTTTAAAAATACAGGATACCTGCTATTTAATGGAATTTTGATAGGAATTGTTCTGTTCAGTACAAATTTGTGTTATGTGCCCTTTGTGTGCATAGCTTTGTGCTAGGTGGGAGTGAAAAAGGTAGAAGGGCGCCTGGCTGGTTCAGTCAGTAGAGCACACAGCTCTTGATCTTGGAGTCATGGGTTCAGGCCCCATGTTGGGTGTTGAGCTTACTTAAAAATAAGTGAGTAAGGATGAGGAAGGGCTGTGGTCCTGCTCTCATCATAATTGTTGGAACAAGGCAAACGTATGCAAATTATTTAGTATTTTGTATATACATCTCAATGAAAGCTTGATCCCACATATGACATAATAGAGCTCTTTTAAAATAATACTTTTTTTTGCACAATGCTATCTCCTACAATCTAAAAATATTATTTCAAGAGTGAAATAGCTGTTAAGACAGCCACTTGACAGCCAACTTAATATCAAAATCAGTTCTAGGAAGTAGAAGGGATGATATTTGATGCTAAGGATACCCTTTCAAGAATTCTTTTTTTTTTTTTTTTAATTTACATCCAAGTTAGTTAGCATATAGTGCAATAATGATTTTAGAAGTAGAATACAGCGATTCATCCCCTACGTGTAACACCTAGTGCTCATCGCAACAAATGTCCTCCTTTAATGCCCCTTGCCCATCTAGCCTGTCCCCCCACCCAGGACCCCTCCAGCAACCCTCAGTTTGTTCTTTATATTTAAGAGTCTCTTATGTATCGTCCCCCTCCCTGTTTTCACATTACTTTTGCTTCCCTTCCCTTCTGTTCATCTGTTTTGTATCTTAAATCCCACATATGAGTGGGAGTGATATTTGTCTTTAATTTCACTTAGTATAATACCCTCTAGTTCTGCCCATGTTGTTGCGACCCTATCAAGAATTCTTAAGGCATAAGAATAGAAAATAAAATGGAGCCACAGGAGGGAAAAGCTTACACCCTGTTTCATCAGGTCTAAGCCACATTATTTAAAAGGCATTATTAGTTTCACATACTGCTAAGGAAAAAAAATGCTACCAAGCCATCATCTTATTATTAGTGATATTAGTTAAAATGTGAAAATCTTAGAATCAATAAATATATGTTAGGAGAAGTAGAACAAGGAATATAATAGTGGGAAGAAAACATTTCCTTACTTTTCATTTCAGCCCTTTGTGGTTAGCTAACTCTCGATTTCAGATTCCAGCTTTGCACCAAATAACCAATCACAGCAGCCTAGAACTTGCTAACTTAAACATATTTTGTGTTTTATTTAGTTAAATTGTGCCCTGATTAGACTTCTCTCTACTTACTCCTAAATAACATATCTTTGATAATAGGTATGAATTTCTAAAATTTTAAATTTGTATTGGATTCAGAGAGCTTTTGCAGAAGAGCCAGTATTTGCATTGATAATGTTGATGGTTTACCAGCATATATGCCTTAAATTTCTTTAAATTCTTTTTCCTTACAACCTGAATATAACATTTTAGAAATGATACAACTCCTAAAGCCAAGACTACACTATATGTTAACTAACTTGAAAATAAATTAAAAAAAAAAAAAAGAAATGATATAATAGTTTTATTCATCAGCTCAACAAACATTGCATACTATGTTAGACACTTTATTTGGTCTGATGTTCTATATTCAAGTATCAGAAAATAGTCTGCAGTAAAAGAGGCTAGCACACCCTCCCCCTTTTTTTGGTAAGTTGAACTTTCAAGTATGCATTACCAAAATAAACTAGATATGGAAAAAGTGATTCAGTAGTTTTAGACATGTACTTCAGTTTGATTTTTAAATGTGTATATTTCTGATTGATTTGATTTGGTTTGGTAAATTAGCAGTAATAGAAGTATTATTTTTATCTGTAACAAGAGACTGCTATAGCGCAGTCACATTGACCCATTGTAAATAATTCTTTAAAAAGTTCTTTTCAATTAATGATAGCATAATCCCTTCTAATATTTTCCATCTCTGGCTTCAGAATAGTAACAAAAGAACCTTCTTCTCTGAGAACAAGTGAACAGAAATCTCACGTGGAATTGTTCTGTATACCCTTAAAGCCATAATGACAAGTGAACAGACTTAAACTTGGAGGAGTAGAGTAGATCTAAGCAGCTCCTGCAGGTTAGATGTGAAATAAGAACTCTTCCTGAGGGGAAAGGCGGAGCTGCTGGGAAGGCACCTAGCCAGTGTAGACACAGCACAGGACGAGGATGGAGGAGATATGCACAGGTGCACTGCCTAGGCAGCTGAGTGCATGCCAGAGTCCCATCACTTGAGCACCCAGAAATTGTTCTTAGGGAATTCCATGCTTTTAAAAGTCAGTTGTTGTGTGCGATAAAATTCCCAAAGAATATTCTCTGAAGAAGGCCAGTTCTAAAAATCTTTAACCGGGAAAAGGTTACCGTTCATAGTTACCGTTTACATGTACATTGTATATGCATAAAGACATTTGTTTCTTTTTTTCCTGTATTCTTTCCCCTCCCCCAGTGAAGTTGTTCGAAGTCATTGAAACTGACAAAACACTGTACCTAATCATGGAGTATGCAAGCGGAGGTAAGAATTTTAAAAGGTTTTTCTTCCTTTCTCCCTTTTAGAAGAATGCGCAAGCACACTGCCCATATGGATGATTGTTTGGGTTTCGTTTACCGTCCAGAGTTGTAATACAGCAGCAGGGGATCAGGAAGGAAAGCTGTCTTGGCTCTTCTGTGGGTTGCTATTAAGTACTTCACTATTAGCATTAATAAGTGATGATATCCAAAACTTGGAATTTTTGATTGTTGCAAGATGTACATAACATAAAATTCAGCATTTTAAGTGTACAGTTCTGTGGCATTCAGTACATTGACATTGTTGTGCAACCGTGACCACCATCCATCCCCAGAACTTTTCATTTTCCCAAACTGAAACTCTGTCCCCATTAAACACTAATCTCCCTCTCCTCCTCCCCAGCCCCTGGCACCCCCCATTCTTCTCTCTGTCTCTATGAATTTGACTCCTCTTAGGGACCTCATAGGAGTGGAATCATACAATACCTCTGTGATTCGTCTGTTCCACTCAGCATAATGTCCTCAAGGTTTATCCATGTTGTAGCATGTGTCAGAATTTCCTTCCTTTTTAAGGTTGAATAATATTCCATTATGTATATACATACACCACATTTTGTTTATTTTAAGAACTTGAATTTTTAAATATATCAGTGCCTTAGCCTGTTTGAAATAAATGTGTACTGTATATTGGATCGTTTTCTTTATCAGATAATAATGTCATTGGTGTTCCTCTTTCCCAAGGCCAGAAATGGTGGTTGCAGTGCATACATTTAGATTTTCCTTAAAGATTAAGGATTAGTCATTTTTTGCCTACAGGGTTGTATACATATAGCTATTTTTCTGAAATGCATGTATATAACTATTGTCTTTTACAAAGATTGTCATTTTGGGGTTGAGGTTGGGTTAGGCTTGTAGTTTTTGGACCACATGTGAGTCTCCTTGTCTTTCGACGGCGGAAGCTTTTTCTTACTGGTCCTTGCATGCTCCTACCTCTACATAGTGCCCGGCACATAGCAGATGTACTCAGCAAAGAAGAACTGACCTGCATTTATGAAATTACAAATTACTGGGGACATATTCTGCTTAACTCTGCAGTATAGCTTTGACTGTTTTGATTACAGTAGAGTTTTATTTTATTGTTAGCACTTTGATGAGTCAGAAAATTGAGTCACAGCCTCTTTGCAATGAAAAGATTGTCAACCTGTTGTGGGCAAGAATGAGTTTACAATAGGCAAACCTTTGACACTACTTTTTCGTACCCCTAATTCAGTATTAGTTGTCTGATTTAGAGTTTAAATGTTTGATTTGAGAATTATTTGGGATTTTCCACAGTTAAGGAGTAGTAGGAAGAACTGAAACTTTAATTGCAGAACCAAAAATCTATATGGAATTCTAATGCTTTCTACTTGTGTTACAGAATTATGTTCATAACCTTTTCATTGGTGTAGCTTCTGCAGCGCACAAGTGCTTTCTCTTACCTGATCTCCTTTGACCTTCACAATGACTCCTTGATGTGGCCAGGCAGTGAAGGATGGGCTTTTTACCCTTGAAGAAATGGAGGCTGGGAAGTCATTGTGGTCACGCTGTCAGGCCTGGAGCCCGAGCCTTCTGACAGTCGATAGCCTCTCCTGAGTGGTCAGTTGGTCGTGGCTTTCTGTTCCCATGTATTTTAGGGGTCATAGAGATTGCTCTTCTGTAGGGGCAAGGCAAAAACATCTTAGAAACATCCACTTTTAGTAGAAAGAGGGTGGGCTTTTAAAAACACAGACGTGGGGTCAGTCCAGCCAGTGCCTCTCATTGACAGTGTGATCTGATAAATTAACATGTCTCTGAGCCTCTTAGTGGACATGCTAACACAGCCCTCCTTTGAGGGCTCAGTGCGGGGCTCAGCGCTGTAACGGGCACTGTTCGTTGGTGATGTGGTTTTCTGGCTTGGGCTGTTTTAATCAGCTCAACAAAGCACTGTCTCCAGGACATCTGTTTTATTGTTGATACATTTGCCATTTGGAACAACCCAGAGTTTCATAAATTGACTACCTACTCCTCCCTAGCCTGGTATTTTTCAGTTTGGTAGAATCATAGAATTTTAGAATTGGAAGGAATCTTAGAAGTCATCCGAGGTAACTGCTTAATTTTTAAATTAATTTAAAGTAATTTTGGGGGGGCGCCTGGGTGGCTCAGTCAGTTAAGCGTCCGACTTCAGCTCAGGTCGTGATCTCACAATCTGTGGGTTTGAGCCCCACATTTTTTTTTTTTTTTAATGTTTATTCATTTTTGAGAGACAGAGACAGAGCATGGGGCGGGGGGAGGAGCAGAGAGAGACACAGAATCCAAAGCAGGCTCCAGGCTCCGGGCTGTCAGCACAGAGCCTGACGAGGGGCTCAAACTCACGAACTGTGAGATCATGACCTGAGCTGAAGTTGAACGCTTAACTGACTGAGCCACCCAGGCGCTCCCACAAAAAAATTTTAAGTAATTTTTAAAGTAAAGCTCTGATAGGTTGTTCTATGCCAGCAGCGCCACTGCTAGGTAGTGGCAGGACCTGAGCTAGGACAAAGGGCTTCCTGTCAAACTGCATGGTCCCTGACCTGGGTGGGGAGAGCCACTGTGTGCTCTTTTTCCTAATAAATTGCCTTTTGAGCTTTTCAGTTTAGCTACTTAATCTGAGTGCTAATACGCTTTTAATGAGGAAAATAAAGAGATCTGGGTTGAATTCCTGATTTATAAGTTGAATTCCTGATTTGTAACTTAGTAATTGTGAGTGTGACTTCATGGTTCCAAATCTCTTAAGAGGTTTATAATTTATAAATTTTGAATTTATAAAAATACTATTTTAAAATTATATTGACAGACCTTTCTCCATGTTACTCTACAACAACTAGTGGGTTTAATTAATCCATTAATTTTTTTAAGTCAAAACTGTTTTTCATAGGATATGCACATATCTTTAGTGGTTTTCACTTTTTAACCACTTGTTTTGACATTGTATACTGTTCTGCAAATAGAAAGGTCATTCGCTTAGAAAATGCTGACATTTTACTTAGCTGACATTTAACTTCATAATTCATCATAGTTAACACGAATCGTGTAGTGTAAATTAACATTATGTAATGCCTTTGAAAAGATCATTATGCAGTCAAATGAGAACTTGAAAATACAGTATTTATGCCCATCCATTATTTAAAAATGTTTCAGTCAGGGCTAGAAGCTTAGAAGCTGGAGATATTAATGTGCAATTCAGAGCAGCTTTTTCCCCAGAAGTATTTGTTATGTTCTGAAACTAAGCATTTTTTAGTATAAAAATCTTTTAGTTGAAAGTTGTCACTAAGCTGATGGAAATATTCTTTATTTGTATGAAGTAGATGGGATGCTTTCCCAAACACATTTTATGTCTAATTTGCTAAATTAATACCCTTTTCTGTTGATTTGAGGTATTGTTTCTTTATTCCAAATTGATAAGCAATTGGCAATTCTGATACATTTTCTGTAGTGTCACCTTTTTGCTGAGGAACCAATACTGTGTAAACTACCAGCCAGACGTCCACCAGCACGTTCTGTTGGCTCGAACTTCCCACCGCATCCTGACTACCACCACTTCCCACTGAGGCCCAGCCTCCCTCATTCTTGCCCTGAGTATTGCGCTACGCCCACTTGTCCTTCTGTTCTTTCCCCAACCTTCCCCAACCCTCCCCCCAGCCACAGTGAGCCTTTTAAGGGGTCAGTCATTTCACACTCTCCTCTGCTTCTCCTCTTACTCAGAGCAAAGCCTGCAGGACTCTTACGACCTCACCCCTTCTTCCCATCTCTGTGCCCTTCCCCTTGTTCGTGGTTCTTTGGCCACATGGCTTCCTTGTTCTTTGCCCGGACTCTTTCTCCCAGACAAGGACGTTGTCCACCCCCTGACAGTAGTCAGCAAAGCACTTGCACATGCACACACACTTTCTGCATACTTCCCCGCGTCTGCTCCACCGTCCTCGTCAGCCAAGATGCTCTTCGCCTGTTTACTGATTGTCTCTCCCTGCTAGACTGTAAACTCTCCACAAGGAAAGGGACTTCACTTTGTTCACTGCCGTCTTTCCCCAGAGCCTAGAGCAGTGCCTGGCAACTAGTAGGCGCTCAATAAATACTTCTGGAAAGAAGGAAGAAAGGAACTGCTTTTATCATAATCCCACAATGAAGGTGTCATCCTCTTTTAACACAAATCACTTTCCCATGTTAGTTTTCAGTTTTTGTTAAAGTACATTGAAAGCATAATGCTTAAAATAAAAGTTGTATAAACATAAGAGATTTTAATTGTAAGTGTTTTCTCTAGCTTAAAGATTTTATCAATGAACCTTTTGCCTATAGTTAAACTTAAGGCTAACTTAGTTCAAAATCCACGTTTCTGTTTATCTTCAAACCTGGATTTAAAAATAAAAATTAGAGCATTCCTAAAAGTGAAATATCAATTTATAGGAAAATTAGTGCTCCAAAGTAGGACTTCTGCTTACTTTCATTTTTCTCAATTTTAGGTGAAGTGTTTGACTATTTGGTTGCACATGGAAGAATGAAGGAAAAAGAAGCAAGAGCTAAATTTAGACAGGTATGAATTGATGCACCTCCAGTTTATTAATTTAATAAAGTTATCTTGCTTAAACCCTGAAGCAGAGAGTGTTTGCCTCAATAAATGCTTATAAGTCCCATTGGATGGAGTAGGGGGTTGGCCATTCGGGTAAACAAAAATTCATTAAGTGCCTTTCATGCCTAAGGCGCTGTGCTAGAAATGACTGTGGGTTCTATTTCTAGCTTTATCAGAATTTTAGTCTCACGCTTAACCTTACTTTTGACAGTTGAGCCTCAAAAATCTAGTCTTTCAAAACACCTATGATTGCATTAATTAAAACCATCTCCCTGTTTTTAGCAAGAGGAGTATCACAGTCCCACAGTTCATTATTAGTTTTGTCTTCACCCTGCTCTTCAAAGACACATTCATTTTATTTTTTTAAGTTTATTTATTTATTTTGAGAGAGGGAGAGGGAGAGAACAAGCTGGGAAGGGGCAAAGAGAGAGAGGGACAGAGGAGCCGAAGCAGGCTCTAGGCTCTAGGCTCTGTGTTGGCAGCACAGAGCCCAACGCGGGGCTCGAACCCACAGACCGTGAGATCATGACCTGAGCCGAAGTCGGATGCTTAACTGACTGAGCCACCCAGGTGCCCCAAAGACACGCTCATTTTAATAAGCAGGTTTTAAATATAAAGGTGACCTAACTTCCCTGTTTTTAGTAATCATAATTGCTACTTACTGATGGATCATTACCTACCAGATATTGGGATAAGTGCTTTATCTACATTAATGTGAATCTTGCTGCAGCCTTTGTGAATTAAGGGGTCTTGTGCTCATTTGCTAAAGATAAGGAAACTGAGGCACAGGAAGATTAAATAATTTGCCCAAAATATAACGTCTGGCAAGTAGCAGACCTGCCAGTGATTCAGACCCAGGTCCTCTGACTCAAAAACTCAAATTCTTAATCGTTTTATTCTCCTATTTTTTTAGATTACAAATCAGGCAACTCTTTCTGTAAAGCGCCAGAGAGTAAATATTTCAGGCTTTGTGGGCCACACAGCCTGTGTCACAGCCATCTAACTTGACTGTTGTAGCACAAAAACAGCTGTAGACAGTTTGTAAAAGAATATGCTCCAACGAATGTGTTCCAACAAAACTTTATTTACAAGTGGTGGATCAGATTTAGCCTGAAGGCCATGATTTGCCCATCCTTGATATAGACACAAAAGGAGCAGGATACTTTACCGCATTTTTTCCTTCCTTCCTTCCTTCCTTCCTTCCTTCCTTCCTTCCTTCCTTC